CGGTAGCTAGCCGGCATGAAAGGACAGCCTTGGATGAAACAAACACTTTCTGCCAATTTAATATTGTTCTTCTTCTTCTTATTCTTCTTCCTTCCATTACATTTAAGCATTATTTCACACACACAAATCCCATTGAGAATGTTCATGGAGGTTGCACCTTCAGGTCGTTTAAGACTTGTGCGCAGCTCCGTGGAGAAACAGAAGATGGTGTCTCCAACCCGTCGAAGGCCAAGGATACGATCGCCCAGCCCTTTTGAGGTGAGGAGTCCATCAAACAAAAAAAGGGGAAGCTCATCTTACTGAGACCGGCCAACACAGGTCCAAACTTGTCTGCCACGAAAAACGTACTCCCCAGACAGTGTTTTTCAAGTCCAAGAACTGAGCACGCGTGAGCAAAATGCCGGTGAGGGCAATTTGCTGGCATCTAGATCGGGCACATGCTAGCACAAATTCCAAGAGGGGAACTACGGAATCTGCAAGTAAGCAGCTTTCATTGAGCTCGGTTTACCCGCAAATGAGCTTCGTTTCGGTTTGTCCAGATGGATGTCTTCTAGACGCGGGCAGAGATCCAGCTTGCGTTTCGGGGATCGAAGGGGAAGACTGCCAACTATCTGACCTGAGCTGACTGGCTAGAAAAGGTGCAACGTTTTGACGCTGGACTGAAATTGCCATGGGTCAAAATCCAAATCGTACCCACAGTGAGCATCCCAATCCCAACTAAAATAGTCAAAAATGGGTGGTGCACAACGATACCATTGGTTTTGACCCACAGCCAAATGATGAAGCAACCTGGCACCAAACAGTTTGAAGTTCGGGAGCTGAACGGGCTTTGCGCAAGGTCAATTTGAGTGATATAACGTGCAACAAATTGTGTCTGTGAAATGTGGTCCTCTGGCAACGTGTATGGGCCAAAGGGGTATGATGATCTAGCTGGGAATTTGTGTCCGCCGACCATTTTGGACAATCGAACACCTGTCAGCTTGGACATGAATAGGAGGGGAGCGAATAGGGAAACCCGAAACGGTGTTATGGGAAATGATGGATTCCACCTGTAAATGAACATTGAACCAAACTGCACCCCGTGGAACACAAAAGAATTCAAGAAAACTGGAAATGTGTGGGGACTGGAAACGGACCTTATAAAGGGGTTCTATACTTGTTGGGGCCCTGCCACGTGCGGGTCTTGATTCACCGGGGTGTCCGATTCCGCCAGATGCGCTAGAGTCCCCATCCGGCCTATGGAAGATGCTTTTCCCGCAGGTCTTTCGCTGTTAGCGGCCTGGCAAATGGCGGAAAACGGATCAGCTGTTTGAGGCCCTGAAAGAAATGGGCCAGGCACTTTGAACCGCTCCTGCACAAGTAGTTCACAAACGAAAAGCAATGCATCCCTCTCAGGTACCTCACCCCCCCCCCCCCCGTGTGGCCCGCGAAGAAACAGTTGCCAGCGGAAAATGCGCATGAAGGACTTGCAGCTGCAGGTTGACTATGTCTGACGCATGAAAGCCATAAAGAAAACGTCCCCATTTCCCGGGATCCGCCTCGCATGCCCAACCGGGGCTTGAAAGAGGACCAAGAAACATGGAAAAGAGATTGCATAATTCTGGGTCTTTAACCCCCTGCTGGCTTCTTTTGGCAACAGTAATCCCAGACTTGATCTCCATGGACAAGGAATGGGCATGAAATGAAAACCTTGGGAAAGGAATGGGAATTCCCCACTCTCCGTCAATGTCTGAAACCTCTCCGCTTTGGGCGGAAAAAGCTTGGCCCATCGGCGCATCGGCCAGGCTTCGTGGAAAGCCAACTGTTGCTTTGGATCGAGAAAGAAACTGAACCCGCTGGATTTCAAAGGCAGACTAAAAACCGATCAATTATGGCAAAGTGTCCTATAACTAACTGAAAACCATCAATTATGGCATACTAAAACCATCATACTAACAAACTGTCCCCCACCTTCACTTACTGTGATTGTGACCCTGGTAACCCCAGGATCAGTGGATCGAGATGCAGATTGTCCTACCCGTTTCTCTTTTTTCCACACATCGAGGCAAGCTGAATGCAGCGATTCAAACTCATCTTCCAGCAATTCGGTCCTTGGTTGCCTACGATATGCCACATGGTTGCCGTGAGCTCGTTTCACGGCTTCCGGGCTAAGGGCAAAGGCCCACAGTTCTGCCGTGTGATGGACTTCAACCCAGGTGTCTTGGTGTCTTCCCCTAGGTAAAACGCATAACGTGGACTTAAACCCAGGTGTCTTCTAGGCAAATCGACAACTCCTGGGCTCAAGTGTATCTTGCAATCCAAACCTCACGCCGCCTGCATGTTCTGCGTGCAGTGGGCGCTATGCGCGGTGCTGCGGCTGGGGCCCAGCCTTGCAGTTTCAGGCAGAACCCTCCTGCACGATACAAATGGACGGCTCCCTCCGTTCAGCAAACTTGCTTTCCCCCGCAGAAAGCCAAAGGTTTTGCAAACAACCACACATTTCACACCCGCCGGCTTTCTT